ACTTGGCCCTGAGGTAGAGATGGGAAAGATGCAACATTCTCAGCCAAGGTCTTGCCGGTGACCGTGGGGATATCACCGTCAAGAAGGCCCGCTGCGATCAGCAACTTCTGCACAGACGGGATTCCTCCAATATCGTACAGATCTGCCATGTAGTACTTCCCACTGGGGGCCAAGTCAGCAATGAATGGGATCTTGTTGCTGACCCGTTGTATGTCATCCAGGGTCAGGTTCACGTCAGCCGTCCGAGCCATGGCAAGGAAATGCAAGACACCATTGGTACTTCCTCCCAGAGCCATCGTCATGACGAGTGCATTCTCGAAGGAGCGCTTGGTCAAAAGATCCCGAGGCTTAATGTTCTTCTTCATGCAGATCTTGATGGCTTCTGCCGCTTTAACACATTCTCGCATCTTCGATGGCGACGAGGCAGGCGTTGATGATGACCCTGGCAGGGACAGGCCCATGGACTCAATCGCCGTGGCCATTGTGTTTGCCGTAAACATGCCTCCACATGCGCCCGCAGAGGGACAAGCATGTCTCTCAATGTCGTCCATAATCTCATCCTTGCTTTTACTGGTGTCGCCACCATCGTCCGGTTGACGCAAAGTATCGTAGGCATAGGCACCAGCCGCTTCAAAGCAAGTCGACACATTGACGCGCTTTCGCAGCAGGTTCGAGTATCCAATCTGAATCGTTCCACCGTAGATCATAATCGAAGGCCGATTGTGTCTCGCCATACCCATCACAACTCCAGGCATATTCTTGTCGCATCCAGGAATAGCAATACAGGCGTCATGATACTGCGCACAAGTTACAGTCTCAACGCTGTCTGCAATAATTTCACGCGACTGGAGAGAGAACCTCATGCCTGTGATTACCCACGTCAGGAAAGTCTCACGCAGACATTGTAGCACTGCTGCACAAGGTCCGAACCCACTCACCCTCACTACCCATTGAAATAGCATCTGAAACCCCAATGGTATTATACTGCCAGCCAATCATGCCCTGATCCGTAACGGCCTTCTTCACAGTCTTGCCCAAGTCCAGCAGATGCATATTGCAAGGATTTCCCTCCCACCAGACACTGGCAATTCCCACCTGTGGGCTTTTAGCCATCGCATCGCGATCCGGAATTCCCGCTGCAAAAAGCATGGCCTATTCAGTCACACAAGAGCAGAGTGTTAGCCCGCACAGTTCATAAGCAGTTCAGTGACGGTAACAAACCCGAGCACCAGGGAAGTCATGGCCCCGCGTGATATAAGAAGAATATCTGTTCAGCGCGGGGGTCCCATCTTCATGCTTTGCGTCGTCAGGAAGACTGGAGAAGTTGATATACTTGGCTTCGCCCTGGGCGTTGGACGACGTGGAGGTAGAGGAGTCCATGGTGCGATGGGAGTTTTGTACGAGTCAAGTACTCAGTCGATCGAGCGGTTGTGGGAAAAGAGTAGGGTATGGAGTATATAACTTTTCTAGAAAACTAAACCCATGACAACCATATAGAATCCCCAATATGATGTGCGGTCCAAATCCGAGTTGCCGACGTCTACTTGTACCCCTCAAGCTGAGGAGATCGGAGTTGGACTCTCTCTCCGCTGGTGGGGTCGGCCAACGCTCCGGTGCGGGGTGGAATCAGTCAATCATTTGCAGCAGATTTAGAATCATTTCCCGGCTACCTTTACCTAGCTTCGGTTGATTGCCATGCATTTCAAGAGCTGTGATTTCTTAGTTTGGGTGCGCATAAGCTGGCCCAGTGGATTTGTCCCGTCAGAATGCTAATTAGATAGCATGCTCAAAACTTCAGCTGCCCGTCTCGTCATTCAAAACTGAATTGCGTATGAATGTTGTGGGATAGTACAGACAAATCTTTGCACTAGGCTTGGGCAAATGATATATTTCTGGGTATCTGTCAATGAGGAATGGGCCGTCTAAACTAGCGCACAAGGACGGGGAGATTGTGCACGCTGCCTGTCAATCAGCCAGCAGTGGAAGGTTGTATACAGCCTGTGAGCTACCATAAAGCTCACTTCTATGGTATCCGTCACTCAGATTCCTTGACTGCCTCGTCCAATTCAACCTCTTCATCCACGGATTCCTTGTCTACTTTCGACCACTGGCCAGAGTGGTCCAATGCCTCGTCATGACTGACTTCTTGCGAGGCACCTAACTCCTCTGTAAGAGTTTTTGGTCCCTGGCCAGATACGGAATCCTGAGTAACTGCATCTTCATCCATAGCGAACCCCACAATTTTTCCGGAGGTTGTGGGAGGTCGAACTTCTTCAAGGACGTCGCCATTCCATGGTTTGCACTTCTTGACGATCTCGCCGCAACGCAAACAAACCCAGCCTTCTCCTTCCTCTCCTTCCACCTTCTGCACAAGGCAAACGAAGCAGTATATGCAGCCGCAAGGGACCGTCTCGTAAGGATTCGTGATATCTGTCTGTGCAGACCCGACGATACCCCCGGCCGACGCCGCAATGATATCGTTTTCTGAAGTGGAGGCAGGATTCTGGTCTTTGTAGCATATAGCACATGTTCGCTCTGGAAGGAACGCCAATTCTCCGCGCTTCTCTACTTCATCTTCATCATCATCCCTCGATCTGATGGCAGATATCGTTTTCCGCCATGCTCTAGACAGCCACCGCCGCCAGCGACTGATTCCAACGAGGGGCAACAGGAAGAGAAGGAATTCGGTGAAGGCGTGCCATACGAGTTGCCGATTGAGGTATTCAAAAGACACCTCGCGAGCAGACTGAGCTGACGGAGGGGTAAGGCGTATGCGAAGGATTCTGTCGACTAATGTCCGGTATCGGCCGTTCACCAGGAAGACGAGGAATGAAACGAAAGCTGCGATTGAGTGTGTGGTAGAGGCTAAATCCGTGAGCCGAGCTAGCATTCGAACGTCCCGCGATGGCTGATTCAGTCAGCACAAGTCCAAATAATTTCCAACAAAAAAGCTCGAGATCATGCCTCTTCATAACCGCCTTCTTGGCTAATCAACCATGACTCCCATTTCTCCCAGGCGTAGCGACCACCAACTGTGAGAAAGCCATATAGGCTCTTTTGCCATTTTGTGGGGTAGAATGAACGGGCCCTTTGCTGCGACTGTCAACGTATCGCAGTCCCTGGAGGGCAGCACCGTACGAGGCATTATGATCCCATATCGAAAGTTTGAACAGGATTGCACGGAGGGCGAATTGGATTTCGTGAGACCAATCTTCCCGTAATTGGGGCTAGCATAACATCGAGATAATCAGTGATACTGAGATAGGCGAGTGGAATTGCAGCGATATGAGGCCATACCCCGAAGTACTTCAAAGCATTTCCAACCTGCCCCCTAAGCAGCCCCAGCAACTCTTCATCGAGGAGCTCGGCATCCACTTGACCAACACGGAAAGCAGGCCTGCTTCCTTCTCGCCCCTTGATGGAGTTCCATAACGTGACACCAGATTGTGGGATTCTGTCTAACGGGTACGGTAGTCGGCTGAGCGCTGGATGGTTCAGCGGCGATGCACGCTGCTGTTCCGCCAGCCGGTTGCGAGCTTCGGCCTCGCGCAAGCGGCGGCGTTCTAAGACTCGTTCCTGAGCAGCGGCAAAGTTTGTTGAGCTCATCGTGGTATCATCGTGTGCGTACTCTAGGAAGAAGTAGGAAGAAAACAGTGACAAGTCAAAGCCCGTAGGTTAATGTGGTACGTAGTCAATGCGTCGGTCGGTTCCCCAGACGGACATTGGGACGTGCCGAGGTTGAAACGGGGCACGTGACTTCATTGGTCAGATCGTCTGTTCCTGTTGCCAATTGCGACAGCGACCTAGCATTCGCCGTGGAGCCAACATTATTGTTGAGGAGTATGTTCTTTATCACGTGAAGCAGTGTAATGATTCTTTTTTTTGGATGCTGAGGATCTCGGCTTCCAACCTGGATCAATTCTGTATGTTTCTTTCGGATGAATATATTGCGAGATCATCTCACTCCGAAGAAGCATTTAACTTCCCTTCTCGAAAACTTCTGCGACCCCATTGGTCGATATGCCCTCAACTTTTATTTGGTTGTAGAGCTCTCCGCCTCAGATGCGGACGTTCAACGCGCGTGGAATAGTAGATTCCGATGCCTGCCAGATTAAATGTGATGGATGGTCCAAATATCCATAGAAACTGCTGGAGCTTACACAGTGATTGTTTGTGCTCTTCTCAATTTCTCAGGAGACAGATCCCAATATGATCAACTTCAGTCCGACACTTCTATTTCACTGCTGCTCAAGACCGGCTGAAACGTACGTAAACCCATTCACCGTTCATGAATTACGTGCCTCACTGACGTTGAGAGTCTCGTAGCCCCCGGAAATTCTGAGTAAACGGATGCTTATGACCTGACACAGGATCGTAAGAACCAGTACCATAGATCTACTACAAGCCTACGTACAGACTAGGGATTGAATCAAGATGTATACCGTAAGGAAGCAGTCGAATGAAACTCTCGAAATAGCTTGCTCGGAGTATGAAATACTCCTGAGACAATCCCTTCTACTGCCCTCTTTATAATTATTTGCTGATACGGAGCAGTCAGACTGGGAGAAGCAATAGCATCTCTCGGATTACCCTAGCCGAGATGTAACAGTGGCTCCATAAGGCACAAGACCATACTACCTTAGCACCAAATGGGAGCTTGACTCACAGAGCATCTAGTGTGATGGACTTCAAATCATGCTGTGCTTGCTCTCCAAGGCTCCAAGATATCCAAGGTTATGTGCTTCGTAGGTACCTTGTAGTTCGTTGCTGTATCCTCTGAGGGACAACAATTCAAGCACGTGCTGGCTTCTGCCCCGATATGCGTCTCCACTCGAACATGGTCAGCCCAGGCTAAGTCGCGCTAAGCCTTAACCCCGGCCGTTGATTGTCCAATGATAAGTACTGAATCATTTCGGCCCCGCCTCAGCAGATCCACTTGCGATGTCTTGACTGTGAATTAGTTTGATCTGTGGCTTTGGCCATTTCAATTAAGCATGTCCCATGTCGACCACTTCGGAAGTGACAACAGTGATTGTTATCGACAATTGCCTTATTATGATCAGTGAATAGCCATCATCATCGCATTCTCACTTTTTCCCTGTCGAATCAGACGAGCTCGGCTGGCCGCGTGATTACATCTACCTAGTCGTTGGCACCTTCTATTTTTCTGGTTTCTCAGTAGCTTGTCATCTCTGGCCAGGATACCTTGTGGCTTTTGACGTAACACGTGCTGACCGCGGGTGGTAGTTCGTTGATCGCTTTGCCCACATATATAAAGCTGTCAGATCATCTCAATCTCGAAATCATCTCCCTGTTGATCGTTGCTTCGTTGGTTCTTGTCACCGTACATAGCAAACAGGTCTTCAAGATGAAGTCTTCCGTCGCAACTTTGCTTGTCACTGCCTCTCTGGCCTATGCTCAGACGGCTACTGAGAAGGAGCCTTCTCTTTCTGCCATAGAATCTGCAGCAGCCTCCATCCAGCCTTACTCTCCAGTTTCGAACGTTGAGGGTGTTGCATTCAATCGCTTCTTCCAAGTGTGGCTTGAAAATATTGTAAGTGATCACCTCACCAGTCAGAAAATCACTGTCCAGAGCTGACCTCAGAAGGACTACGAGGATGCTGCGGCAGATGACAACATGAAATGGCTGGCTTCACAAGGAATCCTGCTGTAAGGTCTCCTATCGGCCATTCCCTCACGACTTGGACTTGGAACTAATTTACCCCGCAGCACCAATTTCTATGCAGTTACCCACCCTTCAGAGCCAAACTATTGCGCTGCTGCTGGAGGTGACACATTCGGCATGGACAATGATAACTTCAACCAGATTCCTGTCAATGTTTCTACTGTCGCTGATCTCCTGGATACTAAGAACATTGCTTGGGGGGAGTATCAGGAGCACTTACCTTATCCCGGATTCCAGGGGCTCAACTATTCCAACCAGAAGACTTATGCCAATGACTATGTGCGTAAGCATAACCCATTGGTCTTGTATGACTCTGTCACCAAGAACAGCACTCGTTTGCGGCAGATCAAGAACTTTACCAGCTTTGAGGAAGACCTGGCCAACAAGAAGCTTCCTCAGTGGGCTTTTATCACTCCAAACATGACCAACGACGCCCATGACACCAACGTTACCTTTGGAGCCAAATGGGAGCGAAGCTGGATTGCTCCCTTGCTCAACAACTCATACTTCATGAATGACACCCTGATCCTGCTTACCTTCGATGAGGATGACACTTATACTAAGGGCAACAAGATCTTCAGTGTTCTTCTTGGTGGTGCCATTCCTGATGAGCTGAAGGGTACTCAGGATGATACTTTCTATACCCACTACTCAGTCATTGCTTCCGTGTCTGCGAACTGGGGCCTTCCTTCTTTGGGCAGATGGGATTGCGGTGCGAACATCCTTGAGATCGTGGCAAACAAGACGGGATATGTCAACTACGAAGTTGACACAACCAATCTACGCCTCAATGAGACCTACCCTGGTCCCATGTCAGCGGGCGAATACTCGAAATACTCCCCTGTCTGGCCGAATGCCTTGACCAGTGGCAATTGCTCTGCTGGCCATGGCATTTTGGACATTGTGAAGGAGACCTACGCCAACACGAAGCCAACATACAACTATACGAGCCCCTTCCCCTATGACACTGTGAGCGACTACAACACCAAGGTGACTGCCACCAAAAAGAATGTCACCGGTACACAAAATAGTTCTTCTTCCTCCTCTCCGTCAGCTAGCTCCAACGCTGCTGTTTCTGCTGTCGCTCCTGCAGCCGGTGTCTCTGGTCTCCTCTTGGGACTCGCTCTGAGCCTGCTTTAAATCTCCAATGACGTGATTCTAGTGAAGTCATGATCTGGGTAAATACTGGCATGAGAACGCAAGCAGGCCAACACCCTAGCATACGTGAATCTGACCATAGAAACGAAGATCTGTACATTATAGCTTGATGATGATTAAGAATAAAAGATACTATCTGCTCTAGGCTTTCAGATCGTAACCGTCAGTTCTGTCCCGACGTTTCTTTGGCTCCTAGAATATTGTTCAAGATTCTGGATAGAAACAGTTTTGATACAGTCCTTTAATGTACATATACATCATTAGGATTGGATGAATCTACCGAACATGTGCTTCGAGCTTCTCATCTTGGAGATTCAGAGTATCATCACCAGGGCAACGTTCCGAGTCCATCTTCAGTGAATCTTCCGGACAAGTCCTTCGCGCTTCATCTCTTGGAGGTTCAGAGCATCATCGTCACCAGGACGACGTTGTGACTCTATCCTCGCCTTATCCTCAGGGCCACCAGACCCTTGGAAATGACCGGCCTTTGAGACTCTGTCGCGGAACGCAAGTCAGTTCATTGAACAAGTAACGGAATTTCACACTAGCAGAGTCCTTGTCTCACCTGCCACGGTCATCTAGGCTGCCGCCCTCGTCTTCGGGAATGGGTTTACGATCGCTACTGGAGGCGCCAGCTTCTCTGCCGGTCTTGATGCCGGTGTCCCCGAACTTCTTGTCGACCATTGCGTTCACACCAGACTCGACGGCTATAGAGAGGTTAGCCTCACGACTAAGTAGGCATGCCTTGCAAAGCTAGAGGACATACTGGAATCGCTCTTACGACCAAGACCCTGCTTGGCCTGGTACGTGTTCAGATCTTTCTCTGCCTCGTGGGCAATTTTGAGATTGTTGTCGTGATCGGACATTCCGGCTAATTTCTGCAGTAGGGTATGCGAGAGGTATAGAGTTGATTTTAAGATAGAGTAGGTGTGTGCTGCTGATGTTGCCAACGATAAGAATGGTCAGTCCCAACATAAAATACCTGGGATCTGATGTCGTCCAGCATCAGGGACTTTGGACAGCATTGCATCATAATACATCATGTCGATGTCACAGAACCCGCTGCCGAGACGAGCGATCAGCTTCTTTTGGTGGTTATTGTCCTCATAGTAGAGGGGTACGCCAATTGCTTGGGTGAGTGGTGACCTAACCCAGTAATTTGGCCCACTTCTTTCGAGCAAGGCACTTCTGCAGTTCTGAGTTGGAAACTGGCCATGCGATAACTGAAGGGTCGTCTGTTCATTTGGGGATGACTTCATAGTTTATCTGGATACTCGGGCTATCAGCCCTAACTCAACTTTCAAATACGGTTTAGTGTAGAGGGTCAAAACCTAGGGCTGGAGCGGGACGGAAGAATGATACTCCCGAGGTTCCCGCTTTGGAGTTGCGGGGACTGGTAAAGTAGAAAGTAGAAGCATTGTACAAAGACAGCTTCCGTGGTTGGACAGTTCCGAGGTTTTAGCTTTCTTTCAGTTGTTTTCCTTTCATCATCGCGCATTTCTGCATCATTTCGGAAGCGGTAGATCCAAAGATCCAAGTACTTCACCTGTTCTGAACATATGGCAAACTAGGTGCTTGGAGATCCTGTCCTGACCGTGCTACGATCGAAGTCAACAACTGCTTTTACTCCAGCATCGCCAATTATGGCCCAGGTAGTTGAATTACCTGGCGAATCCAATCCGCTGAACTCTCAGAATCTCCTCCATGCGCTTGCACTCGCAGCCAGCTCGACACAGCAGCAGGTGCAAACCGGTACCAAGCAACTGCAACACTGGGAAAAGCATGAGAGTTATTTCACTCTACTGCAGGTATGTCGGTTTTTTCCTGGTCCGGTTCCTGCGCTTCCTTTTCTATACTTTCCGTCTTGCATATTGACTAAGTACTTTCTCTCAGGATGTATTCCTAGATCAATCGTTGCCCATCGAAATCCGTTACCTGTCCATCATCCAGTTGAAGAATGGCATTGATAAGTACTGGCGGAAGACCGCGACAAAGTAGGTCTAGGGTCACTGATACGCATACGTCGAGCCGACAACTGACATTCTCAAAGTGCCATCAAAAAAGAAGAGAAAGAGAGGATAAAAGTGAGGGCCGTACAAGCTGGGGTAGTCGAACCTGCACCTCTGCTTGCCCTTCACAATGCTTTTATGATCGCCAAGATCATGCGTTACGAATTTCCGCAAGACTGGTCAGTGCTCTCTTTCGTTCTTCAAGGAGGTTCGTAATTCTGATATCTGTCAGGCCAGATGGAATCTCAGCAATCATTACCTATCTTCGATCTTCCACACAGCCCGGCGCCAACCCGTTGCAATTACCGCGGACACTCACAATACTACTCCAAATAATCAAGGAATTGTCAACAGCTCGGCTACAGAGAACGCGAGCGAACCTTCAGTCAGTGGCGCCAGAGATCTTCCACCTTTTGGTCAATATTTATTTGGAGAAGGTGAACAAATGGACCGTCATTCTAGAGCAGGGCGGCGTCGATGAGGCGGCATTACTTGATGAGGCAGAGCAAAGCCTTGTTTGTCTCAAGGTTCTTCGGCGTCTGATCATTGCGGGATTCGAGCACCCCAATCGTGATAAAGAGGTCCAGGACTTCTGGCTCCTGAGCCATACCCATTTCAGTCGGTTCTTTGCTTTTGTCAATGGCTCCGTGCCTTTATCAGAGCAAGTTCAGAGGTCAATAGAGAAACATCTGCTCAAGTTGTCGAAACTTCATGTCGAGATGGCAAAGGAACGGCCCGCGGCATTCGCCTTGCTACCGGACAGCATTCCCCTTGTTCAATCTTACTGGACCCTTGTTGTCAAACTCGGAGAAAACTACAGCCAGCTGGGAGACGATGGTGACTCGGACGGCAAGACACTTATGGAAAAGGTGGGGCTCAGAGCCCTTCTCTTGATCAGGGCCTGTTCCAAAATGGCATTCAATCCCGCTCAGACGTTCAAATATCAGACCCCGCAAGACAAAGAGGAGAAACAACGGTCTATTGAACAAATAAAGTCGGATCTTTTCACCCATGAATTCGTTGTCAGTGTCATGGAGCTTTTGGTTACTCAATTTTTCCGCTTCCGGAAAGCCGACTTTCAAGAATGGGAGGCTGAGCCGGAAGAGTGGGAAAGAAAGGAGGAGGATATTGCTGAAGCCTGGGAATTCTCCATCCGATCGTGCTCTGAGAAGCTATTCCTCGACTTGGTCATCCACTTCAAAGACTTACTGATTCCTCGACTGTTGAACGTCTTCTTCTCGTTTGCAAGTAAGTTCAAGTCACTGAGGAGGACATTTACGAACTCTATTGACCGTTTCCCCTCCAGGTCCCGAAAAGCGTGACGTACTGCTCAAAGACTCATTATACTCCGCCATCGGACTGGCTTCCGCAAGCTTAGAGCAGCAATTGGACTTCAACAGTTTTCTAGAGACAACGCTTGTCCAAGAAGTTCAAATTCAGGAACAGGGTTACAATGTCCTTAGGAGACGAATTGCCATCGTTCTTGGGCAATGGGTACCAGTAAAGCCGGATGAACTCAACAGGAATGCCATCTACCAGATCTTCCAGCACCTTTTAAGCAAACAGGATCCCTTGAATGACCTGGTTGTCCGCATCACGGCTGGTAGACAGCTCAAGAACGTGTTGGATCCGTTCGAATTCTCCCCTGCCGTGTTCATGCCCTATGCTCAGTCCATTCTCCAGGACTTGATGTCTCTCATTCAGGAGGTCGAGCTTCCTGAAACTAAGATGGGACTTCTGGAAAGCGTTCGTGTCCTGGTAGTAAAAATGGAGCATCATGTATGCACCCCTTCACCAACTGGGCTCAGCAACTCTGCTAACGCTCGTTCAGATTGCGCCATTCTCGGACCAAATATTAGCTTTACTGCCTCCATTGTGGGAGCAATCCGGCGAGGAGCATCTCATGAAACAGGCCATTCTAACTTTAATCTCTTCCCTTATACATTCTTTGAAGCAGGACTCGATCAAATATCATTCTCTCGTCTTGCCCTTGATCAGCAGTTCGGTAGAACCAGGCTCTGTAAGACGTCCTCGTTTCTGGCCCTTGACCTCAAGCAACTAACCCAATGATAGGAGACCCTGGTATATCTCCTTGATGAGGCCCTAGAGCTCTGGTCTGCTATCCTCACTCAAACACCTGCACCGGCGTCTCCCGAGCTTCTTTCGCTCATCCCTGCGTTATATCCTATATTCGAAGCCGCCACGGATAGTGTCCCGCAGGCCCTCCAAATAGCAGAGTCCTATATCTATCTCGCCCCCCAGGAGGTTCTTAGTGACCGCATCCGGCTGCCTCTTCTCGTCTCATTCGAAACCCTCCTACAATCCACCACCAGGCAACGCATTGGCGTTGTCCCTCGCCTCGTTGAGCTCATGATCCGCGGCGCTGAGGCGGTTGATGGAGGCAGCGAAAATACGTACAACGTCATCACGCGCTCCCTCATTGACAGCTCATTCCTGCAATCTCTCCTGGAAGGTCTCCATTCCGCCTACGAAGCTAGTCAGACGACCGGCCCACGCCGGAAACCAACGTCGGTCTACGGCGTTGTGGAGACGGATTACTATTCTGTGCTCGCTCGTTTAGCACTGGCATATCCTAAAATCCTTGTCTCCGCCGTCTCCGCCGCCACGCAGACCCCCGAAGACCAGGTTCTCTCCTGGCTTCTCACGGAATGGTTCCTGCATTACGACAACATTGGCAGCGTGACTCAGAAGAAACTGCATGCGCTCGCTCTGACGCAGCTTCTCGCCTTGAACGGCCCCGATACCCAGCCACCCACATACATACTCAACCACCTGCAATCATACATGAACATTTGGACGGATATCGTTACGGAACTTGCGGAAGGTACCGAGGGTGACCCCAACGACCCTCGCAGCGGCGATTATCTCATTTACTGGAACAACGCGCCGAACGCCAAGTACGATGGGCCTGAGCCACCAGAGAACGAACGCCGACGACATTGGGAAACCTCAGATGTGATCCATAAAATCAACATCCGGGACTTTGTGCGCCAGCGCTTGCATTCCCTCATTGTGGGGTGCGGTGGTGAGCAGCGGTTCCAGGAAGAGTGGCTCCTCAATGTAGATCGTGAAGTGGTGGCCGCATTTGCCGCTTTGGGACTGTTTTAGTGGTTTCTTCGGACATTCTTGTCACATAGTTCAGAATACCCCTATAGATGAATATGATTGATGAGATGATACCAAGATTCTATTGCACATGAATGGATCTGAGGAGCCAGGAGACATAAGTGACGAAGACAATCTACAGGAAACGATTCCTCGATTGAATGCTTAGGCAAACGCTCTTTTGATAAGGTATACCATTCCCTTGGCGTTAGAAAGTTGATTGCCTCGTGTGCACGTTGTCAGTTTCCCGAGGCCGACGGCGGAGCCCAAATTAGGAACGAGGGCAGAAGAAAGAAGGTTACTTCATTGGTCTAATCCGTACGTTTGCTCATTTATCGGTCACTGAAGCATAAAAGGTCCGGACCACTAATGTATCTGAACCGCCTGGCGGAGACTTTACTTGGTAGGTAGCCTGTTGGATATATTAATACGTGACATTACTGTAAATTTCCTTAATTTGTGTGCCAGAAAGCTTGTCTAATGGTAATCTAAATACATACATACCCACCACGTGCTTATCTGCATCCGTCCAACAACATTCTTGACAACGGTCAATCTTGTCCTTTGATGAGTATATGGAACAACTTTATCTAAGGTTTCTGCAACATCTCCGGATGCAGAAAGTTGCGAGCCAAAACCTACGCTGATGTAAGCCAGGCGTCATGAAGGCCTCGGAAGCTGTTTGGCAACATCACGCCGATATGAGCCCTCTGTCCTTGATGCTCGGAAATGCAGCTACTTGATTTTTCAATTGCTCCAGCTAATACTGTATTTCTCGCATGTTGGTGAGTTGTCCTCAGTTGTCCTCAATGTGTCTCATGTGCAAGACACCTTCTGCATGAGCTCGCTTCAAGGATGCTCCTTCCCTCGTTCATGAACCCCAGACTGGCCACTGATTCAGAACAAACATCAGGTACAAATCACTCGCTGGTTCCACTACTTCGTTGAGGTCATCCTCTCTTTACGTAACACACGCTCCTTTTGTTTGAGAATACTTTGTCCCGCTTCTGAGCATCGCCCGAGACCTAATCCGGAAGGCTTCACTCGTAGATCTCTGCCCACCAATGCTACAGGCTCGTACGTAGCAAGTCCAGAACTTTGACAGTTCAAGACAGGGACAAAGT